ATACTTGCATGAAAAAATACCGAATACCTACAACTAGTGTTGGCTTCCAATTGCTAAGCTAAAAACATTGCAACTACATGTAAAATATGTTATGTATTATTTGAATTTACTACATATACAAATAAGTAGATGGCGTATAGGAGCGGTGGCGCTAGAGTTGCTCATGCATCTGCCTGGCCTCTGGATGTTGCCGGCTTTCACACGTTTTTCCCCAGCAACACCAATACCACCCTCAACCACCCCCCCCCCACATGCCCCTCCCTGTCTACAGCCAATGGTGCTGCCCCCCCAGCGTACTGCACACATACCACCAGTAGTGCTACCAGCGATTCCGGCGATCATGCCGGTCCTGGAGAAGCAGCAAAGGGATCCAAGGGTGGGAAGGTTCAGCACCAGGGTAGTAGGCAGGGAGGGCCTAAAAATACAGGCACTGGATAGGGCCTCCCGGGATGCAATAGTGGAGATCCTGGGAGATGAGGAGGAGGGCCTCTATACTCATCAGAGTAAGGACGATAGAGGGCTCCGAATCGTCGTCCGGGGTCTCCACTGCACTACCCCGACGGCCTGGCTGAACAAAGCTATGCTTGAGGCGGGATTCACTGTGACCTTCAGTAGAGTCCTGCCCAGCAGATACGAGAAACAGACGAATTATAATCTGTTTGGGGCGGAGATTGCCCCTCAAGCAGATCGAGGGGAGCTGGCTCTTAAGCGGCTGGACAGCCACCTGGTGTCGGTGGAGAGGCTGGCCAAGACGAAGGTCCCGGTCCAGTGCCACCGATGTCAGCCAATTCATGCCCCTGCCCCTTCTCACACCCCTACCACGCCCACTGTACCCATGGTTGGGAAGGCCAATCGGCTGGGTCTTGTGGATGAGGTTCTTCACGAACCTGAAGTCGTGGCGGACGGCTCTGGTGCGGCCACCCGGGATGCGTTGTCATTGGTAATGCCAACGGTATGTGTTGTTGGCCGAGCGGCTGCTGGTCCGGCCACCCAGGCGAGGATGTGGGATTGTTGGCGACCATAGCATGTTTATCACTGTTTCTCAGAATCTGCTGATAGGCTTCGTTGCCTTTCTTGTTTTTCTTTAGAGAGGTTTTGGGTTACTGCGTCCGACTTTTGTCTAGTGCGTTCCTCCTCTTGGAGACGCAGGAGTGTTGGGAGGGATTGGCTTTCCGTTTGTGTAGTTTGATATGGTTGCAGATTTGGTGTCTTCTTATGCGGGATTATGTGTTGTCTTTGCTGCTGGGTATATCTTACTCTCGTTAGCTGGATTTTGGTGCCGTGCATCGTTTGGTGGAATGCCCTACGAAAACGCCAGCGCGCACCGCCGACGCCATCAAACACCAACACAAACCACCGCAAATCCCCACAAAAAGGCGCCAAGCCCAAAAGGGAACGCCGAAACAACGCCACTCTCTCACGTCAAAACGGGTGAGGGAGAAGGCGGAGGAGAGCGATCAAGCCAACGCCCAGGGGCGGGATGCCATGGAAGCCGACACAAGTCAACCAACAGCCAGAAACAATCCCACACACACACACACACAAACGCGACTTCGTCTGTGTAAAGTGCGGTGGTTGGTCCACTGCACCCAGCTAAATGCGAAAGTTGCGGCGGTTTAACAATTTCTGTCAACGCGGCTTCGTCTGTTTAAAGTGCGGTGGTTGGTCCACTGCACCCAGCCAACTACAAGCCCTAAGCTGATGCTGATATGAGGATCAGATGGAGCCCGCTCCGAGGACAGGAACGGACTGAGGATCGCAAGCCATTGTAAATGTTAATGTTAAGTCTAGTGTTACCTTAACTTTCTTCACTCAATATACTTGCATGAAAAAATACCGAATACCTACAACTAGTGTTACCTTCCCATTGCTCAGCTAAAAACATTGCAACTACATGTAAAATGTAAAATAAGGCATGTACTATTTGAATTTATTACATATACAAATAAGTAGATGGCGTATAGGAGCGGTGGCGCTCAAGTTCCATTTTAAAAGAAAACACATGTTAATGTTAAGTCTAGTGTTACCTTAACATTCTTCAGTCAAAACATACCGAATACATACCATTGCTGTAACTAGTGTTACCTTCCCATTGCTCAGCTAAAAACATTGAAACTACATGTCAAATGTAAAAAAGGCAGTTGGCGCCAAGAAATTTTGTAAAATATGCTAATTTAAGAGTATAAGCAAATAAAACGGTTCTCTCTTCCTGTCAGCCTCCCTGCCCCCTGCTAATGCATGTTGCGATGGGAATTGTTTCGACATGGAGAGATACTACCAATTTAGTTCGCAAGACGAAAACAACAGAAAAACTCACATCCTCCAGACCCATACGCATCCCGGGTGGCCGGACCAGCAGCCACTCGGTTGATCGAGCCAATCCACAGGCAACGCATCCTCGGTGGCCGGACCAGCAGCCACTTGGCCGAGCGGGCTAACCTGAGCTTAATCTTAAAATAAAATTAAAATAAAGCAAAAAAAAAAAAAAATGTTATTTAATTGTAATAAATACCACATTGTTATCGATATTTATGTAATCTTATGTTGCCAAAACTTGTAATGTTGTCAGATATAATGTTATATGTTGCTAGATAGTAATAAGAACATTAATAAAGATTGCGTCAGGTCACACTCTGAGCAAGTTTAAACATCAAAATAAAGTGCGGTGGTTTCGTCCGCCGCTCCCAGCTAAATGCGAAAGTTGCGGCGGTTTAACAACTTCTGTCAAAGCGGCTTCGTTTGTGTAAAGTGCGGTGGTTCGTCCACTGCACCCAGCTAAATGCGAAAGTTGCGGCGGTTCGCACCCAGCCAACTACAAACCCTACGCTGATGCTGATATGAGGATCAGATGGAGCCCGCTCCGAAGACAGGAACGGACTGAGAAGACGCAATTCATTGTAGAAGAACACACATGTTAATGTAAAGTCTAGTGTTACCTTAACTTTCCCTACTCAAAATACTTGCATGAAAAAATACCGAATACCTACAACTAGTGTTACCTTCCCATTGTTCAGCTAAAAACATTGCAACTACATGTAAAATGTAAAATATGGCATGTATTATTTGAATTTATAACATATACAAATAAGTAGATGGCGTATAGGAGCGGTGGCGCTGGAGTTCCGTTGTAAAAGAAAACGCATGTTAATGTTAAGTCTAGTGTTACCTTAACTTTCCCTACTCAAAATACTTGCATGAAAAAATACCGAATACCTACAACTAGTGTTACCTTCCCATTGTTCAGCTAAAAACATTGCAACTACATGTAAAATGTAAAATATGGCATGTATTATTTGAATTTATTACATATACAAATAAGTAGATGGCGTATAGGAGCGGTAGCGCTGGAGTTCCATTGTAAAAGAAAACACATGTTAATGTTAAGTCTAGTGTTACCTTAACTTTCTTCACTAAAAATACTTAAATGAAAAAAATACCGAATACCTACAACTAGTGTTACCTTCCCATTGCTCAGCTAAAAAAATTGTAGCTACATGTAAAATGTAAAAAAAGCAGTTGGCGCCAAGAAATTTTGTAAAATATGCAAATTTAAGAGTATATATAAAAATAAAACGGTTCTTTCTTCTTGACGGCCTCCCTCCCCCCTGCAAATGCATGGTGTGACGGTAACTGGTCTGCTTCAAGAAGTTAGTCTGCCAATATTGTTCCCACGACAAACACTCATCCAAAAAATAAATTACAACAAAGGAGATATAAAAAAAAATAAATATCCAGCCGGTTTCTGCACATTATTTTATATATCCTCTACAGAGGAAGGGCATTTGCATCGTCGCTCATATGAGGGCGACGCCATCCGGGTCCGGACAGTATAAGGACGAGACGATGCCACGTTCGCATTGCCGGTGCTGCCGCGCCAGAGCTCGGCTCCCACCGGATGTGCCACCTGTCCCCTGTATAGGAGCGGGACATGATGCATTGGGTGGTTTGCCCGACGAGTGTCAACTGCCCGGTCATGACTCTAATAATTGGTGTCCTCATGTGTGGTGAGCTGCATCTGCCGGGCGGTTGGATGTGGCCGGCTCCCAAAAACCTGTCCAAGCCAACATCTGGAGTTATCTGCCAGTTATCTGGAGCTGCCGTTGCTTGCCCATGTGCCGGTGCCAATCCACAAACAACGCATCCCGGGTGGCCGGACCAGCAGCCACTCGGTTGAGCGAGCCAATCCGAATTTAATTTGAAAGTTAAGTAAAGCAAAAAAAAAAGTGTTAAATTGTATACATAAATACCACATTAGAAATTGATAACTTTGTTAGATTTCAATGTTGCAAAAACTCGTCATATGTCAGTCCTAATGTTAAATGTTTCTAGTTTAAGGTAATAAGAACATTAATAAAGCATTTATTCAATGCAATTTATTCAAAATTATGAGCGCCAGCATTTCTGCTGCGCAACTTCTGTCTCCTCCTTCTCTTACAGATCTTGAATTACCCGCTAGTGAACTCCCTGTGAGAGTGAGAGAGAAGCCAACAACAACTGGAAGGTGGTGGATTTCTACCATTTCCACCGCTGAGACAAACGAAGCGGACTGTTGCTCACATACAAACACACATCCACTCAAACGCTCAACTCAATGCGAACTGCCCCGGACCAGGGGGCGGAGCAGTAATGAAATGAAGACAGAAACAAAACAAACAATAGCTCTGGCTGCCCCGGACCAGTGGGCAGAAGAGAAACGAAAACAAAACAAAAACAAATAAGAAGACAAGAAATAGAATAGAAAACATACTTATGTATATAATCTCCCTTTTCTGCCAATGTAAGGCAACCAAAAATGTTCCCCTTAGTTGATAATTATTTATAGTCAAGAGTATTTTATGCTTTAGCTCTACCCACTCCCTCTCCCCCCTCTGGCTAACGGACTGCAGCCAAAGTGGAGAGATTTCCCCAGAATGATGCTTGCGCCGGCAGCACTGCCGGCAGTGGAGAATTCGTGCTGTCCAAAAGCATCGTATTTTATATTTATATTATATTATATTATAGAATATTTATGATATACTACAGCCCTAATAATTTGTACTAAAAATGCTAGAATAGTATAGGTAGAATAAAGTCCCCATGGCGTAACGTAACACTGGCTCCCCTAACCTGCTGGAACAGGCCAAGGCTCGAGCTGGGTTACGTTGCGCTATGCTAATTACGTATTGCCGCCGTTGCATACGAAAAGACAAAAAGAACTACTGCAGCCGTGCAGTTATATGCCTGAAATGTGGGGAGAAGCATGACCCCAAGGACTGCCCCAAGAAGCGGGAGGATGTGCCGAAATGCGCCAATTGTAATGGTCCTTATGTTTCTAGCTACCGTGGTTGTATCAAATATAAAGATTACTGCAATAAAAGGAAAAATGGATTAGAACAGACCAACAGGATGTTGAGTAAACTTTCGATGCCTACCTTACCCGCCGCTCAGGGTTTGCGGCGAGCGCGCTCAGACGCAAGAGCTCCTGCTCCGCCAGCTGAGATGAGCAGTTATGCTGAGACACTTCGCACAAGGGAGCCAGCAAGCCTTTCCCAGCCGCTTCCAGGGAGGCAAGTATGGCAGTCAATGCTACCCACAGCGACCACAACCGGATTCCAGCGCACGGTGAGTAATCAGATCGTCCGTCCTAGCGATGAACTCAGCCAGAAACTGGACAACCTCATCACATTGCTGACACAGGAGCGGATCCAGCATGCGGCCGCCGCTGCTGAATCTACTTAGAAACTGGAAGGGAAAATAGATGTATTAATTGCACAAATGACAAAGCTAACAGATTGTTTATATGCTAGCATGCAGGCGAATTATTATACTCAGAGACCTTCAGCGTTAATGGATACTGCACCTACAGTGCTAATCACCCATCTGGGACTGGTCGTGGGGGATCCCTACTCCTAATCAGAGGTGTAATCCTTCATATTGCCCTGCCTAAGCAGCTGCAACATCCTGGCCACTGGATCTCCTACTTACTACCTCTACAATACTCGGCATACACCATTGGCAATTGACTTCGCGGTCTACAAGGGCATGAGGGACGAAGTGTTGCGTATCTCCCATCTAAATGACCTCTCTTCCGATCATCTCCCAATGGCGATTGAGCTGAGCATGTCTCCAGCGGAGACGGTGACTAAGAGACGCCTCTTGCCCCCAGGGGCTAGCGTTTCGAGGTTCCAATCATGGCTTGACTCGCACATCCATCTGAACACTGAGCTCAGGTCAGCAGAGGATGTTGATGATGCAGCTAATATACTCGAGAGGAACGTGATAGCGGCAGCCGAACATGCCACAAGCAGTCTGAGGAGGCCCGTCCGACCTAGAGTTCAGGCTGAGTACCAGGTCAGCAATCGCATACGGCTGATGATTGCCACCAAGAGGCGCCTGAGGAACCTGTTGAAACAGAACTATGACCCGGCAACGCGACAGCTGCACAACATGCTTGCCAATAGGATACACAAGGAGCTAGAAGCGGGCAAAGCCAGACGCGCTGACGACCGATCCTACCGATCGCTATAGCATGCAGAAGCTATGGAGACTGACTAATGGTTTGAAGCGGCAGCCAGCAGCCAATTTGCCTGTGAGGAAGTTCTGTACCGATGGAGAGGATAATGCTGACGATCCCTGGTGCAAGAGCACCAAAGAGAAGGCAGAGTCTATTGCTTTGCATCTCGAGCAGAGATTTAAGCCTGTTTTAACCAGCGCGGCAGCTGACAGACGAATTATCGAAGATTCCCTGGAAGAGTTTGGATCCCCTGAGCTGGCATCTTATCGACTCATTAAATTGTTTGAGCGACTCATTCTGACCAGGATGATGGAAGCTGATGGTTTTGTTGAGTCTATTCCAAACCATCAGTTTGGCTACAGACATGTGCACGCGGCTGAACACCAATTGGGGAGAGTTACAAAGTTCATCCTGTCCACCTATGAGAGTAACCTGTACTGCTCTGCCATCTATATGGACATTCAGGAGGCTTTCGATCGAGGCTGGCATGCGGGCCTGAAACATAAGATGAATCAGTTGTTACCGGCAGCGATATATAAAGTCATGTCCCACTACTTGGATGATCGGTCTTTCTACGTTGAATGCACAGGCGGCGTCAAATCTAGAAACAAAATGATTGCAGCAGGCGTTCCACAGGGCAGCGTACTTGAACCAGTACTATATAATCTGTACACGTATGACATGCCGCTTCCACGCGACAGTGGTATGCTCTTGGCCACTTATGCTGACGACACAGCAATCCTGGCCACTGGCATGAACCAAAAAGCTCAACCGATTCCTACTGAGCATCTCCAACTGGGCAAAGCAATGGGGCATTACCATCAATGCCTCAAAAACTGTACATATAGTGCATACATTGCGCTCGATCCAACAGCCAGTGGCTGATTTGCAGCCGCACATTGCTGACCAGCGGATTAGTAGCATCGCTGTGCATTCGTATTTGGGGGTCAAGCTGGACGCTAAGCTCCAGTTTCACCTACACATCACCAACGTCATCACAAAAGTCAGGGCAAGGGTCCAAAAACTGCACTGGCTCCTAAACTCAAACAGCAAACTGAATCTCGATACCAAGGTCATGTTGTACAAGCAAATGATTGCACCTATCTGGTAGTTCACATTGGCTGTATGGGGTCCATTAGCCAGCAGCGCGGAATTTGTACGGATTCAGGTTGAGCAAAACAAGACTCTTCGCCTGATCTGCAATGCACCATGGTATGTGAGGAACGACACCATTCACAGGAACCTGGAAGTGGACACTGTTGAGGCAGTCTATGAGAAGGCATGCAAAAGGTACACGGAACAAATGAGATCCCACCACAACATTGAGGCAGCCAAAGTGGTCAATGACCCCTACGTACCGCATAGAGTTGCAAGACCTCGGTATTCCGAGTTTCTTGGCAAGCACCTACCCAAGGCACTCGCGAAGCACGAATGGGAACGTATCGTGATGATCCCAAATCAGCGCCCGTACACGGAAGAGGACCAAATAAGCCACGATAGGAACCTTGATGACATGCGGAGGATGCTCATCAGGATGAACCGCCCAGTGTCGCCACTACCAGAGTATAATTACTACACAGAGGTCATACTCCCTAGAAGAAGGTTACTGGAGCCTGCTCCCATAGCCACGGTAGATTTGACGGTCAGCAGCAGAAGACTGCGATTAGAGCGATTGGGCCTGGCAGTTGGTGCAGCTTTGAACGACCTATCCACTGAACAGACGCCTGACACACATTCGCGGCAGAGCGAGAACGGCCAAGTCAATGGAAGCGCGCACATACACACTAGCACAAATGCCCATGGAAGCCAGCCACCGCCAGCAACAGGAACAAGAAGCACAGAAAATAACAACCAAAATGCTCAGCAGCAGTGAAGACTTACCGCCAACACATTCCCGTTCAGCCCCTAAGAGGGCAACAACCATGGCTGCCGCATTTGGACAAACAAAAACACAAACGCACGAAAGAAATCACACAAATATATGCGAGCGCGACGAATGCCACGGACAAAGCAGACACCGAAATGGCCGTTACGGAATGATCAATCTGATTAATATCTTCCTAAACCGATCAACTAACGAGATAGGAATGGACAACTGCAACTTATTAAAAAGAGTAGAAGACTCACGCGAACGACTGCTAAAAACGCGTCCGAACAAGGCGCTGCTGCACAAAATTATGAGCGTTAGCATTTCTGCTGCGCAATTTCTGTCTCCTCCTTCTCTTATAGATCTCGAATTGCCCGCTAGTGAACTCCCTGTGAGAGTAAGAGAGAAGCCAACAACAACTGGAAGGTGGTGGATTTCTACCATTTCCACTGCTGAGACAACGGACTGTTGCGCACATACAAACACACATCCACTCAAACGCTCAACTCAATGCTAGCTGCCCCGGACCAGGGGGCGGAACAGTAATGAAAGAAGAAATGAAGACAGAAACAAAACAACAATAGCTCTGGCTGCCCCGGACCAGTGGGCAGAAGAGAAACGAAAACAAACAAAAACAAATAGAAGACAAGATATAGAATAGATAACATACATATATAATCTCCCTTTTCTGCCAATGTAAGGCAACCATAATGTCGATAATTTAAATTTAAACTTAATTTATAGTCAAGAGTATTTTATGCTTTAGCTCTACCCACTCCCTCTCCCCCCTCTGGCAAACGGACTGTTGCCAAAGTGGAGAGATTTCCCCAAAATTGATGATTGCGCCGGCAGCACTGCCGGCAGAGGAGAATTCGTGCTGTAAAAAAGCATTGTATTTGCTGCCTACGGCTGCTAACAGCAGCTCGTAGACAGCTATTTACATATATTTATATAAGCTACAACCCCAATAATTTTTACCTAAAATGCTAGATTCTGTACAATAAAGTCCCCATAGCGTAACGTAACACTGGCTCCCCTAACCTGCTGGATCAGGCCAAGGCTCGAGCTGGGTTACGTTGCGTTATGCTAGTTACGTATCGCCGCCGTTGCATACGACAGACAATGTAATTCCTATGGCTGCCTGCAGCGAGCGGCCTCCCACGCCATCTTCTATAAGGGCCTCGTCTACTGCCGGGATTGACCTGCGTATCCGGAATGACTTTCTGGCAACTTCTCCGAATCCACTCCGCAGCCTGCAGCAGCCTATCGCTACTCCAAAACCTGAAAGAAGACGAAAAATCATCAATGCCAATCTGGATGGCAATAACTCTGCTTACTTCTATCTACAGGCAAACAGCACAGATACTGACGGCCTCCTGGTGAATCCACGGCGAAAGCGGAGGCGAGTAGTCCATCCGGTGGCCAGCTATCCTGCTGCGAATCCTCTGGCTGGGCGCAGCGAGCCGGCTGTAATGCTCCCTCCTGCACGGGCCTCGTCCATTGCCGATGCACATTTCCGCCCCTGGAATCGCCTTTTGACTGGCTCGCCAAATCCGCACCGCAGTATATCCAGCATCCAACGAAGGCCTGTCCGACAGTTACAACAGCCACTGGTGAATCTTCTTCTCATTGGCCTAATGCTGGATTCATGGCAGTTGCAGCAGTCTAATGACGTCACGTGGCATTTACTCAGACCGCTCCCAGGTCACCTTCTGAAATTTTACCGCCGTCCAGTGCGCCAATGGTGGAAAGGCGCACACCGAAAGACACGCCCTCTGGAAGCATATAGGCGAAGCAATTTGTAACAATCAAATACTTACTCACTTACGGTGCGGCTTTATACTTCCCCTGAGACTGCAGCAGCCTGATGAAGTCACCGCTTAAGCCAACTTCTACAGACTCAATTCCATCCAGTGAGCTGATGATAGAGGTTCATACCTATATATACGTCCGCAGTAATTAAATGGGCAAAGAAATTATAATTAATATAGCTTCAATTTGTTAAATTTATAATTTTTATTACTTACAATGCAGTTTCCAAATGTAAACAAGCGCACGTCGTTGCCAGAAAATGTTGATTTCTTGTAATGTAAAGTGCCTTATCCATTTCTCTGTAACATTATGTAAAATGTCCCAACCATGTTTAATTAGTGGTTCAGCTGTTAAAAATATTTGTAAATGCGTTCAAATGTAAAAACTTCGAAACAAATAAACTTAGCTGAGGGTCACTGTGGCCAATCAGTCTTTTTGTGCTCGCGCCGTCGACACACAACCCGAAATATCTCCCATTCCCCAATACCTGACAATTGGCAACGCCATTAATGACCCAAAAAATACCACACCAATTAGGAAAATACCCGAGCCGATAACACACAAAAGCCAATTCAAATTCAAATTGCATTTATCAATGCCAATGTGTTATTGGCCGCCAACTTCGGCAATTTATGCCCAGCCAATTTCACACCCACCCACTTCAAATGCCACTAAATGCCAAATGAGGCTGAGCAGGAATAAAATGAACACTGCCAACCTTCGCCACTCTGCCAAACGCCCCAATAAAGCCATTTCAACCGCCCACAAGATGCTATGGGGTCGACTCTTCGGAGCGTCTCGCGCCCGGATCGTAAGATCCGGAAGTATAAAGTATCCGGGCGGTTATACGGGAGCAGGCAAACTTTCCCTTTCCCATCCCATCCCCCGACAACAGAGCAGCCAATACACACGGAACAGAGAACATGAGACATCAGCCATTGACAAGCAACAACACACAAAGCCACTAAAACAAACAGCCAATGCAATTTTTTATTGCCTACTTGTCGGTGCTGCTGCCCTCGGACCACTTTCATCTCACTCAATATTGGGGTGAGTGAAAGTGGAACCGGGGGTGAGAGCACCGGTAAATGACGATCGGCGATCGGGTCTCTCGAGTGGAGAGTGTGGGAGTTGGCGGACATGTGAGAGTTCCACCATGAACCTCGTCCAGGCCACTCTCATCTCGTCCGCCCGCTCGAGAGGTTGCGATTGTCGGACGTTTTTGTAATAACCGTGTCGTGTCGTTCTCGTGTCGCCATTTCCGTTTTTGCTGTTGTGCAACAATTAACAATAATTTTTAAACACAAACCTACGAGAGTCCCTCAAGTAGAGCCATCTCAATCTGCAATGGATCTTTCAACTGATGATGAACTGTGCGGAGTTCCAACACGAGTGCGAGTGCCAACAGCGATCATACCAAATGGTGCCGGCCCCTCACGTGTTACTCCCACAGCACAAGCTGCTATCACTGTATCACCTGCTATTGAATCGCGACCCGCCAAACCACCGCCAATAGTCCTTCCTAAAGTAAGCAACATTGCTGCCACTTTAAAGGAAATTTCTCAGCTAATTCCCGTGGAGAAATTTTACACGAAGACAACTCCTGCAGGCGGACTCCGCATCATGTGCATTGAACCACTTCAGGAACGGTGAATGCACCACCACATCCTATACGTATCAACTCCAAACGGAAAGAGGATATAGAATCATAATCAGAGATCTCCACCATACCACGGATAAAGATTACATCATTGAAATGCTGGCTAGCTATGGACATGAGGCCACATTCGTTCGCTGCATGACTCGTCGCGGAACCCAAGAACCCTTCAACATGTTCAATGTGCAATTGAAGCCTAACAACGCTGAAGTACTCGCCATAACGATCTTGGGTGGGCAAAGAGTTAAAATTGAAGTCCAACAAAGCTCTGGCCCTGTTGTCCAATGTCATCGGTGCAAAAAAATTGGCCACACACACAACTATTGCCGAAGTGACTTCGTCTGCGTAAAATGTGCTGGACAGCCTCAACAACATGCCAAAAAATCTTGCAGCAGCCGGCTAAATGTGCAAACTGCAGCGGCCCTCACCCAGCCAGCTATAGAGGCTGCATCTCCTTTAAAAATGCAGATATGCACAAAAAGCCGAGTGAATTGGCCCAAGCCAATATGCTGCTGCAGAATCTTGGTATGCCGGCCATTCCCATGCCTAAGAATCGAAGCCAAGGCCGACGTCGCCAATCAAGCAAACCTCGCAATCCACGACTGAACGCTCTAAGCTCCAGTATGCACCAAGAAGCACCCTCCACTTCAAACCAGGCCCTGAGCTACGCTGCAGTCGCCAAAGTGAACCCTTTAGCCCAAAAACAACAACAACCACTACAGCAAGAACGAAGATCAAGATCGAAGACGAAGCCAAAGCCTAACGCACGCTTGCAGAATCAACTCATTAAGCATCTCAGCCGAATTCGATCCAAGAGCTCAAATCAATCTTTAAACACAAATCACCCACAAATCAGCAATAACAACAACAACAATTTCATTGATCTCAACAGCCTTAATGTGAAGTTAGACAAGCTTATATCTCTCTTACTAGTGCAGTCAGAACGGAACAACCAGACAACAATTAACAAGACTCAGCCCATTCAGAGCCTTGAAAATAGGATGTCTTTACTTGAGAAGACTCTTGACCGAATCTTATTTCGACTCTCTCCACTTGCAAAAGACAATGAATCCTCAAATGCCTAATAATTCCATGATAACCAAAATCGCCTTCTGGAACGCTGCTGGGCTCTAAAACAAACTACCTGAACTCAATGCTTATTTGACAGACAACAATATAGACATCCTACTATTTCCTGAATCCCAACTAAAAGACGACTCTGATCTCGTCATAGATGGTTATCATGTTTACATGGCAAACCACCCGTCTAACCGGAGCAGAGGAGGAGCGGCGATTATCATAAAATGCAACATCCCACACATTTCCCTCCCACCAACAAGAGAAGACTCCATCCAGATGTGCACCGTAGCTGCAACAATGAAAAACCACCTAATAATTAGAATCGATACACATTGATTGATACACAATTCAAACAGGTTTGAATTGTAATTTAAAACAATGTAAATAATCTACATAAAACACAAATTAATATTAAGTTTAGTATTACCTTAACTATATAAAACACTGTTAAATTCTAAACAGCCATTATTGTAACCAATGTTACCATGTCATTTTTCAGCCATGTCTGTTACTACACATATGTAGTTAAACAGTAGGCGCCACAATTTTTGTAAGAGGTATTATTTTAAAAGTACAAGCACACTAAAGCAACTTTCTCAGTTTTGTTCGATCATTCGAGCACATCACAAAAAAATTTCCCAACCATGTTAAGTAGTGGTTCCGCTGTTAAAAGAACAGCTTTTAAAAATATTTGTAAAGGCGTTTAAATGTAAAATTGCGAAAACAAATAAACTTAGCTGAGGGTCACTTGCGGTGGCCAATCAGTCCTATTGTGCTCGCGCCGTCGACACACAACCCGAAGCTTTAGCTCTACCCACTCCCTCTCCCCCCTCTGGCTAACGGACTGCTGCCAAAGTGGAGAGATTTCCCCTGATTGACGATTGCGCCGGCAGCACAGCCGGCAGTGGAGAATTCGTGCTGTCCAAAAGCATTGTATTTGTTGCCTACGGCTGCTAACAGCAGCTCGTAGACAGCTATTTACAGAATATTTATGACAAACTACAGCCCTAATAATTTGTATTTAAAATGCTAGAATAGTATCTGTACAATAAAGTCCCCATGGCATACCGTAACACTGGCTCCCCTAACCTGCTGGAACAGGCGAAGGCTCGAGCTGGGTTACGTTGCGCTATGCTAATTACGTATTGCCGCCGTTGCATACGAAAGTCTCAAACCCAAATAAAGCAAAAAAAAAAGTAATAAATAACACAAATACCAAATAAGATATCGATAACTTTGTCAGTCCTAATGTTAAATGTTACTAGATTAAAACAATAAGAACTTTAAATAAAGAACGCGACAGGGTCACTCTAAAGTGCCCTGAGCCAGTCAAACATTAAAAAAATGCGGGATTATGTGTTGTCTTTGTTGCTGGGTATATCTTACTCGCGTTAGCTGGATTGGTGGCTGGGTGCTGGATTTTGTTGCCGTGCATCGTGTGGTGGAATGCCCTACGAAAACGCCAGCGCGCACCGCTGACGCCGAGCTACACAAACACCAACACAAACCACCGCGACTTCGTCTGCGTAAAGTGCGGTGGTTTCGTCAACCGCTCCCAGCGAAATGCGAAAATTGCGGCGGTTTAACAACTTCTGTCAACGAGGCTTTGTCCACCGCACCCAGCTAAATGCTAAAGTTGCGGCGGTTCGCACCCAGCCAACTACAAACCCTACGCTGATGCTGACATGATGATCAGATGGAGCCCGCTCCGAGGACGGGAGCGGACTGAAAAGGCGCAATCCATTGTAGAAGAACACACATGTTAATGTTAAGTCTAGTGTTACCTTAACTTTCTTCACTCAAAATACTTGCATGAAAAAATACCGAATACCTACCATTGCTGTAACTAGTGTTACCTTCCCATTGTTCAGCCAAAAACACTGCAACTACATGAAAAATGTAAAATATGGCATGTATTATTTAAATTTATTACATATACAAATAAGTCAATTCCTGTTTTTAAATAAAGCTTCAGCAACATATTTTTGTCCAGTATTTTTGTATATTAATGTTACCTTAACTTCCATGAAATGTAAAATGTATAATGTAAAAACTGTTAAAGATAAAACTATGATCTGTACGGCAACACATGTTCAGCTAAAAACATTACAACTACATCTAAGATGTAAAATAGGCAGGTGGCGCCAATAAATTTTGTTAAATATGATAATTTAAGAGTAAAATGCAAATAAAACGATTCTTTCTTCTTGACGGCCTCTCTCCCCCCCTTTTGTATAATGTACTATTTAAAAGTACAAACACAATAAAAGCAACTTTCTCAGTTTTGTTCGAACAGTCGGACACATTACAAAAAGCGACACCTAAGGGGGAAATGTGTACGCTTCAAAAATGTTTGCCCGTTCTTTTCATATAAGCCGCATAGAAGCGCCAGTGTGAAAAACCTCCGATATCCGTTTCTACACGATTTCTACATTGGTGAATTCGACAAGAGGGTGAGTCCATAACGCGTCCTAAAGAATACTGGAAAATACTAGAAAATATAAAAAAAAATTAAAATACAAAGTGTGTGAGCTAGACATGGTGGCCAGAAAATCAGTGTAACAGCGGATTTATTTATAAGATATACGGTCTGACGCCTAGAAATATACCAAAATACGGAATAATATCGATTTCGCGCGAGTGCCATTACATTTATAT